ACACACACACTACCTTTACTGCAGACGCCACAGGCCTCTTATGCTGGTGGGCTTCTTGGGTTTTAGGCCTGAGGAACAAAATGAAGTGACTTACGTTGCCCTGGTATAATAACCAACATGTCACTGAACACACACTGAGATCTCAGGCAGCGTTGGAGTTTCATACGTACAAAGGATCTGATGGCTTGATCTTTCCTTTTGCAGCCAAGTATTCCATCAGTTTCTGTTTACGCAGCTCTGTAAAGACATTACAGAGGAATGAAACACTGGCCTGATGGATGACTTTCCATGATAATCAACTTTAAATGTCATACTTAATGTGTGAGCTGAACTCATGTGGACCTAACATCCACCCACTGGACCTCGAGTGTAATCTTTGGAACAATACTAACATCAATCCAGAGACATGTACTGCCATCTAGCTGCAGCTAGTGACAGTTTAAAACTATTCCTACAGTTCTACAGTTTCATCAGCAGACGCTTTAATCCAAAGCGACGTCCATCCAGCAGATACAGCACCAGCAAGGATCTGGTCAGGAGACAACGACCTGGATCAGAGCCACAGAACTGATTGAGTGTGACAGGGCGGTGGTGCACAGGAGAGCCACATGATCACACACTGGCCACACGTACAGGCACAAAGTCTGCACCCATCTTCATAATTAGTTTAAATAATTCTAATGAAAGAAAGAGTGGAGAAGCGCACACACTGGCTCCAGGAGGACAGGCTGGGTGCACCTGTACAGTAACCCACAGACAGGTGACTGACGACGCTCGCTTCATCCTGCACTGAGGAAACTCTGGAAGTGACTTTCAGTTAACTACTAGCAACGCATCAACTACGTCAGTCCTGACCATTATCATACACAATAAATGAGCTGTTCTGAAAAACAAAAGTTTTTCTGTAATTCTACCAACAAGGTTCTTTTCATACAAAACCGATCTTTCACTACAGCATAACAAAGCTACTTAATGGGGGACTCAGGTGGAACCAGGAGGGTCTATAAGAGCTAGAATATTGTTCATGTGTGTTGTTATGTATGACACCGATCTGGATCCAGTTATGGATCAAACAATACTTTATTTAGTTCCTGTTTTTAGTGAAACATTTGCTCCCAATTACAAGCTGACAGTATTTCTTGCCACACAGCAGCACTGACAGTGTTTTGGCTCAAACTGTGCAAAAAACGTGCTGAAGAGCAGCCCCATGCACCGTCTCCACCGCCCCACTGTGGGTCCAGAGGGTCCGGGTCAGTCCCAGCAGCTCCATGTCTGCAGCAGGGAAGAAACACTGCACTGGAAATTAACGTCACTCCCTTTTAATGGCCTCTTTGCAGGGACTGAATTCAGTGTTTTATCTGAACTTTTAAGACTTGCAGACACCCTGTAGCTGCTGTTGCCTGTTTCAGGATTGAAACCCAGTTCTGGGGCATGGCCCAGTCCACCCACAAACCGCAGCAGCAGCGACCACGTATGTCATAAAAATTAAGAAACTAAAAGGGAACAAATGATTTCCTGTTGCTTGTCATACATTCGTGCAGTTTTTGTCATCACACGCTGAATAACGGTTACAGACGTTTATTAAGTAAAGTTATATTTGTAGGACCAATAATGTTCAAACCCAAACCCTGACCCTCAACGAGCCTTTTCGTTGTGATCCCATTGACGTTCAGGCACTAATTTATGTGACCTGAGTTTCCCACTACATGGAAGGTAACGCTTCCTAACTAGCGCTAGCGTTAGCAGCGGCTAACAGTTAGCTAACCGTCATGTAAGGTAACGCTTCCTAACTAGCGCTAGCGTTAGCAGCGGCTAACAGTTAGCTAACCGTCATGTAAGGTAACGCTTCCTAACTAGCGCTAGCGTTAGCAGCGGCTAACAGTTAGCTAACCAAGGGCCGCTAACGCTAACAAACATAACTAGCTATTAGCAGCTGAATAAGCTCGCTAACCTTTTCTGGAAAGCACCGGTACGGATTCTCCTTCTTCCATATTCATAAAAGCCGTTTTCTTCGTGTCGCTGCACTCGGGTGTAGAAACCACAGATATCTGTCTGTCTGTGGTAGAAACACTCCCGTCGCGGCGGTTTATACGTTAAACGAGCACCACAACAATTGAGCTCCTAAATCTCGTTTTGAAATTACCGCGAGGAATCATTTCTTCTTCTCTGATTGGACGATTTGAAATTTCGAACAAGATCAGCACGCCTGCGCACAAGACCCGCGCTGATTGAAGGAGAGCATGTAAACAAAAAGTCCATGCAGGTAGTGAACACTGGAAACATTTTTATTTTGTGTTTTTAATTGTTTTTGTTTGTTTGTATGAATCTTGTCCATCAGGTGCACAGAAAATATGTCACTTTTGTAGAATATATAATATTATATATATATAGTGTGTTTTATACACCTGGCTGAGTGTGATCGTCATTTATCCCTGTTTCAGTGAAGTCGTTTACCAAATCCTAATAAAGCACATAAAACACAAATTAAATGGCTTTATTATTAAAAAGGCTTTATTTAAGATTCACTGCACTTCATTTAAATAATTGTTAGTAAGCAGATTAAAACTGTGCATAAATATATAAATAAATAAATACATAAGAGCAGTAGCAACGTGCCCCGTCATTCAGCACAATAAATACACAGGAAGCTCACGAGGCACGATGGTGCCACCTTGTGACGAAACTTGACTCTGTCAATACATGAAGGTTCTACTTTCTGTACCCGGTACATACAGTAAACACAAACTCCTGCTTCTTCTTCATCTTGATTCTTTCAAATAGCTCAAGTGCAGTATATTTTACACTCTTCAGTGCAAAAACGTTTTCTTCAGACGGTCAAACTTGACCCCCAGATGCAGATCCACTCTCTGTCTGTAGCAGGTTTAACTCTGACGCTGGATGTTGAAGGCTCTGTAGCGCGGGGCGATCTCCTGGCACATCTCCACCGGCTTGTTGTCCTGCTGCGCTGTGCTGATGTACCAGTCAGGGAAGCGGGCAGACATGAGGGTGCTGATGTTCAGCCCACTGTCCCGTTTGTAGAAGAGAAATCGCACCATCTCGCTCTCTGAGCTGATTCTCAACAGGCTGTCTTTGTCTGTCACCTCCTGAAGAGTACAAAGATCCACATCAGAACACTTCACAGCGGGCAGCTTTAGGCCCACGAGCTTCAAGTCAGAGGAGCAGATAGATCAGCTGTCCTAGTCTTCGGTCCAGTTGTATGAAACTGTTCTGCTAAGTGTGTCGTCGCAGTGTGATGTTTGTGCAGTCTTACCTCCAGGTGCAGGGTTGGGGGCTCATCACCGTCCTTGTGGCAAGACAGGTAGAGGTTCGAGTCCTTGATGCCCAGAGCCACGGGCCGGGCCTCGGTGCTGGGGGTCGGGTGCACGTAGGTGGACATGTTCAGGTGAACTGAGGAGAGACGGCACAGGCTCATTGTAGTAACAGCGGTCGGACACATGCTGCTTTCATTTTGTTACCAGCACATCTGAAGCATTAGCAAAAGTCTGAGGTGTGTGAAAAATCCAGTTTGTATGATTTCCATCTGCTGCAGCTTCATCCTTTGATTCCCTTCAATTCTACAGTTCAGAACATTCAGCTCTTTGTGGTTCTGACCCTTTGGCTCGCCATCTCTTACACTTTAAATCAACATATCAGTTGGTATTACAGCTCAGAGTGGAGCGAAACGTTTGGTGCTTGGTTTAGATTTTTTATCCTCTTTGAAGAGTTTTCAGGTGAAACATCAAACAGAACACAGACGAATAAAGTCAAATGAAACCCTGCTATGACCCAGAGCACGACTATCACACCACAGACTCACGTGTCACATGCCAGTACCTTTGCGGTTGTCGCTGCCTCCCTGCAGCATCACTGCGTGGAGCTCCATGCTGTTCTGGACCAGAACTAAGCTCCTCTTCTGGGAGTCGGTCACGCTGCACTGGTGCACGCCGGTTCTGCTGAACTGATCGAGTGGAACTGTGCTTCTCTCGAACACAATTCGCTCTGAGAGGACAAATGGCGGCTTCGTTAGTTGTGTTGTCCTGGTTCTGATCTGCTTGAATCACTGAGTTAATCTGAATTGGACTTCTACAGAAACTGATCCAAACTCTTCTAAAGACGGTTCCTGTTAGCAGGAACTCACTCAGGTCCTAATGACAGCAGCTGCCTTCAGAATCCGACATAAACTCGGTTCAGATACGATCAGAAGAGAGCCTGTCTCTGGGATTACCTTCCACGATGCTGTCCAGCATGATGCTGAGCAGGTTTTCGTCTCTGAAGTCGGTGCTCAGCACCGTCTCCGACGTGCTGGCCTTCAGCCTCTCCATGGCGATGACGAGGTTGGCGACCTGCCTCATGGTGAGAGGATGATGTGAAATCTCCAAGTCCAGTCCCTGGGGCATCTTGTCGCTCCACATTTTGCTCATGTTGCGGCTCATCTCGGATTCCATGTTTTTAAGATCTGCAGGGAGACAGAAAGTAGTTCCTCCTGTCACTGCATCACAACTCATGTAGTGAGGTCCAGCTGGAGGTCCAGCTGGAGGTCCAGCTGGAGGTCCAGCTGAAGTCCTGTAACGTCTGCTTCCCTTCAACACATCACAGCTGTCTGTCCAGAAAAACTAGAAGGTGACTCAAACTGCCCAAAGCAAAGGTCCTGTTTGAGATCTGCTCCACATGAAGGAGACGAAACAAACCAGACAAGAGACGTGTGGTTACCTGTTGACGGCTGTGGATCAGAAGCTGTGCTGTTTGCCGGGTCGTCCTGGCGCTGTGTGCTGCCTGCCTCGGCCCAGCGGCTTTTATGTGCTGCCACTCGTCAAAGGGAATTTCTGTCTTACAAACAGGAAGTGGGCCAGTCTCTACGAGTCGTCCCGCTCTGATCCTCGCTGTGATGCAATACTGTACTTACACACTGTGGTCACGCCTGAGATAAGTGAGGTACGTGATTGAGACACAAGAGGAAGCAGGAAGGTACCGACCGGGATTCCACGTAGCAGACGGTCCCTGTTTGGTTAACAACAACCATATCTGTCACCCAGCGGCTCTAAAGGGACAAGTACAGATAATAACAAATAAAGAGATTATTAATAATAATAATAATAATAATAATAATAATAATAATACCTCATAAAGAGACATAAAGGCTTCAGAGAAGATTCTCTTTGACTCTCTGACCTCAGCAACCTGAAGACAGATGAAGTCAAACTGCTTCATGATGAAACTAGAACCTGTTGCTCCAGATCCAGAGTCAGACTGAACCGTCATGATTTCCTTCTTCACATATCATCTGTGTTAACTACTGTCAGAATGAAGCCACATGCTGATGCTGGTGTTACAAATTAAATACTCTAAAATCTGAAGCTTGTTGTGGCGTCAACAACAACAACAACAACAACAACAACAACAACAACAACAACGACCGCCGGCTGCTGTGAACAGTGGGAGCAGAACGCAGCGCCGTGGAGCAGCAGCCTGACGCCGGCCGTCGAGCAGATCGATCATCTGAACTTCACTCTGAGACATTTGGACATTTGTCTTCAGCTGAATGACGGTCCTGAAGGTTCAGGCTTTCTGGGCTGTTCATGATCCACCGTCACCTTTATGCAGTTTGAAAGAAGAACATGTTGTAATTTAGAGACAGAGTCAGCGCTGGTTACAGCAACAGCACAGGTCAGGACCGGACAGTCTGCTCATGTTTGACGGTGATGGTTTAACTGGTTAGATGAGTAGATTAGTTTAACTAAAGGACAACAGTGACGCTGCAAAGCTCCAGTAAAACACATCCAGCTGCTGATATTTTACTTTCATGTTGTCTGGACCGGCTGTTCCAGTGAGTGGCTCTGGAGGACGGGAAATTTCCTGAAATATACAAGCGTGTTCCTTCTGTGGTCATCATGCGACCCGTCCACTCAGTCCTCAGGTTGTTTCATCCTCTTCTGATTGAGGCAGAAAGGTGGCCTCCTGTCAGCTACCAGTGATCGTTTTTACTTTGCTTTTGCACACATTGAACAAATCAGATCTGAGTGTGAGTTGGGCGTCTGTGTGGCCTGAATTCAACCTGCGTCGACCTGAGTGTGACGTTGTGAAAGTGGAGTAAAGACACGCTTTGCTTCATCACGGCTCGCCGTAAACCTGTTGCATCCCTGAGAAACACCGGAAAACACAGAAGTCAGTAAATGTGTGAAAGCTCATCACATGAAATGTTAAATTTCCACAAACCAATTAAGGTTTTGTGGTTGCTTTGATGTGAAAAAAAAATTCCACCAGCTTGTAAAGTTGCATCACAGCGGCTGAATCTGATATTTCTTCACTTCCTGGTTTGGCTGTAATGAAGCTGCGTCACCAGCAGCTCTCTCACTGGGCTTCTGATGGTCTTGGTCCAGGCTGACTGGCTACAGGAGGGCTGCTGTCATATGTACTGCTGGCTATAGTTGTATGAAAGAGCAGCGTGCTTTAACAGGGGACGGGATGGAAGTCACACATAAACATCAACCAAACTAGTTTCCTCTTTGACCTCTTAGGACCTGCGTGGACATCACATCCTGGGTCACATTAACCTGTAGTCAAAAAAATGTAAACAATTACATACTTATATATATATGTTATTATTGTTTTATTATTGTTATTTATTTTTATTTTTTAATTTTTAAAACACATTTTACTTTCTTTATATTTTTTTAACTTTTTGTTCTCTTGCATCTCAAACAAGAGCTCCGGTCTTAAGAGGTTAAATTTAAAACTGTGTTAGAACAAATAAACACTTTTTCATACTTTTCCAATCATGAATTGTGTTTTATGTAGTTCTATTTATATTATATTAATTTTTCCTGATCACAGTGATCATGTTTGCATCCTGGCATTTAGCAGATAGAACGTACATCACCAGTTAGCACCATCCATCCATCATCTCTCCACCTTCATCCTCACCAGGGTCATGGGGGGCGGAGCCTATCCCAGCTGACTCAGGGTGAAGGCAGGTTCACCTGGACAGGTAACCAGTCTATCACAGGGCTACACTTAGAGACAGACAACCAAGCACACTCACATTCACACCTACGGACAATTTACAATCACCAATTAACCTCAGCATGTTTCTGGACTGTGGGAGGAAGCCGGAGAACCCGGAGAGAACCCACGCTGCACGGGGAGAACATGGAGACTCCACGCAGGAAGATCCCGGGTGTCCTCACCGGGACGTGAACCGGCGACCTTCTAGCTGTGAGGCCACGGTGCTAACCACTGATCCACCTGCAGCCTCCAATTAGCACCAGCACACATCTGTTCATTACTTCTGCAGGTATTTGGTTGCAAACCGATGGCAGGTGAATCGACCCAAAGAGTTCAAATCTGATTCATCATCTGCAACCAAACTTCCCGGCAATCAGGCTTTGCAATAACTGCTGGAGTGCTTCTGCTTGCAGGGTTACAGCTACAGCAAGCTGTTGTAAGTTAACGGTAAGTTCAAAGAGGAAGCAGCCAACGTTGGTTAATAACATCACAGCAGAAATATAGACTTTAGTTTAGTTTTGCTGAAGTCAAAAGAAGAAGGACTCGTCACACGTAGCTAAAAATATTTCAGTTTTATTCAGCGTGTGTCTGTCCTGTAACACAACCAGCAGACTGTCCTGATGGCGCTGGCTGCACCTCAATGTACAGATACAGCTAGACGTAAACAGTTTCATCAGTTAGATCAAATAAATAAAGATGAGTGAGATCATGATCAAGTTGAGAATTTCTTTTTTAAAATGACATTTGTATCTCTGTGTGGTTTAATGTCTGTTCGACGTTTCATTTGTATTCTATATGATGTGACGTATGGAGCTGAGCAGTACGCAGACAAGCAGGAACAAAACAAACAAACAAAGTCAATAAATAAACAGACTTCTTATGGTTTGGTACAGAATAAATGTTGTTGTTGTTGTTGTTGTTGTTGTTGTTGTTCATCTTCGTGTCTGCGTTGCGTCTCCGTGAGGACCAATCAGCAGCTGACAGCTCAGACCTTCATACGTCTCAACAAGCTGAGTCACACCAGGAGAATTCTCCTGCTTCAAACAAATGAACGAAATGAAAATTAAAAAAGAATTCTTTAGACATGAGGACATGATGTCAGAAATCAGCATCAAACAGATGAAACTCGGTCGGTGCTTCTGCAGCATGATGAGACCTGAACATGTTCACGTGGAGCTGGACTTGTTTCTGGGACGTCGAGACCAGCGCCGGTAAATCTGGACCGTCTTGTTTGAAGCCGTTCAGAAGACAAGCAGCAGAAAGCTGTGCTGTGTGAGCGGCGGTGTGTGTGTCCATATAATAGCAGGGCGTGTTGTGGCCTCATTGAATCACTCGTCTCTAATTCCTGCTGACTCATGTTTGGTTTCCTGCTCGCATTAGGAACTGGAGCTTCTCCTGGTGTTGAAGCAGCACTTTCACATCACTTATTAGTTCAGTCGCTGTGAGGAAGTTCGTCACAGAGACGCTCCAGCCAATGACTTTGTTTTGACTGAAACGCTGAACAGAATTCAGGGACCAAAGTTCTGCTCAACAAATGTGCAAAATCCAACAGTCTTTACAAGCAGAAACGTTTGAATGTCAGAGAATAACGGCGGAGCAAGAGGCGGTTTCATTGGGCCGCACCAGCCAGCCCATGGCCCGGAGCTCCTCAGCTACAACCAGTACCAAGTTCTAATGTCTGCATGTAGAGAGCTGCAGAGTTCTGATGGTGACAAGAGATGTGGTGGGCTTGAAATCCTAAACTCCAGAAGGACTTGTTCAGATCACAACACACACACAGTTTGAATCACGACAGCTGCCAAAGTCTTCCCAGTCCGACCTCGCTCAGCTCCGACTTCCTCCACCTCCTCCTGAGCTCAGTCGGCCCGTTTGCATCCATTCTGATCATCAGTACACTGAAAATAATTCAGAATAGAATAGAACTTTATTGACCCCTTTGGTGGAAACCTCAGGGAGATGCTGCACCAACAACGACAACAACAACAACAGTAATAATAACAACAACAACAACAATGGATTCAGATCAGGTTGGAAACACCTTGTGCATGTAAACCTGAAGTCCTCAGTGTGGACGATGGAGCTTCTTCTCACCCAGCAGGCAGGAAAAGGAAAGTCAAACCAAGCTTCAGCTGCAAACAATGAAATGATCAATACGATCCCAGACAGAGTGGAAACAGGCTAACGTCCTCCTCTGACCCCTAAAGCATCCAGATGGACACGTCTGCTACATCCTGCTGTCACTGAGCTGGGTGAGAACAGAGCTCCATGAAACATCTCCACCGGCTCCAACGTCTGGGAATGATCCACATGATGACCACATTCAGTGATAACATCCCATCATAAAGGTGCCATGAAGCTAAAGAGGAAGCTCCTGGAATTGGAAGGCCACTGGACTCCTCTGTTTTGGTTCTTGACCTTGCTGATAACACCCAAGAGGCCTCCGTGGTTCTGACCGACTAACGGGGAGCCCACATCCTACAGGCAAAGCTCATTACTGACCCAAGAAGGTTTCTAACTGATCAGATTTACTCAGAGCTTTTCTGGACTGAAGTTGCTTCACACTGTCAGTCATCCATCCTGGTGGTGGTATCTCTGGCTGTAGCCTCAGCTGCCCCGGGGGGGGGGGGAGCAGACTGCCCTCCGACCACCTCAACAACCACCCATACGCATCCACACCAGGCAGGTGGTGGAGTGTGTTAGACAAGGACACGTCGACCAGGACACAGGTTACAGGAATCGAACCGCCGACCTTCTGATCACCGACCGCCTCGCGACACTCGTCTGAAGACAGCAAAGTCCACGTTCTGGACGGAGAAGACAGGCGGTCTGAGACAGGAGTGAAGGAACCCATATGAAACTGGAACCGTTATCTCCAGACGGGCTCATCGTGTACTTAGAGTTCAGTCTTGCCAGACAGTTTCAGCCTCATTAATGCTGAGTCATCGGAGGCCAGTTAGCAGCCACCAGGACCAGCTGCTGTGGGAGGTCTTATATAATCGCTCCTACGGCTCCCTGTTCAGTGGAAAATAATCAGAAGTAATGAGCTTTATATCTGGTCTCAAAAGACAGATGAATGTGGAGGTCCTGCTGCTTCCTACTTGCCGTCTCTCCGCATCGAGCATCAGGTACCGATCCACTAAACAGTTCATGAACTATCGCCTCAGCCAGCTGCAGACTGCGGCTCATGTCGATGCTTTTCTGAAACCACTCTGCTGGAGGCATTGCTGCGCTCTGATGCTGTTCTTCTGCAGCCAGCTCTTCATCTCCTGCTGCTTCAGTCAAACTATGAACGCGTGTGAAAGTGTGTTTTCACTCTGTGGCCTTCGTCCTGCGCTGCCACACACTCTTCAGCCCGGAGCAGTCAGCTGTGACCAGATGAGCGTCTGATTATCAGGTTGCGTCACAGTGAAACTTCTGGATCCTGATGAAATCGGTGTCGATGCTCTGAGCAGGATTTGGAGGGCGGCGGCTCAACCTTCAGCTGAGCCCTGTGACGGAGCGCCGGTGGGCGTCAGTAAACACAACGAGCACGACGTGATGAGAGAGTTCATAAAGCAGCAGCACTCGTCTCTCTCGGCCTTCTAACGGCAGGTTTCTGGAGTCAACTCGCCCCAGTTTATGAGACAAAAGGCAGTTTCATCACCTCCTATTAAACTACTCCTTATTCATGGTCTTGTTGCTCTGGTGCCTACTGGTAGAACTGGTTTCACAAGCAAAATTCCCACTGATGACAGCAGCAGCAGCAGCTTTGGGATTTTTCAGCTCACCCACAAAAACTACAGGATTTCACTTCCTTGCCCACACAGCGCTGGCAGCCATTCACAATAACAGGAAGTTACACCACGGCTTGGTATTGATGTTATCTGTGAGTAAAAAGCACTTTCGTGGGTGAGTTAGTGGGTTTTATAGGATTACATACAACAAGGAAAGAAGATGGAAAAAAACAAGTGAGCTCCTGACGTAGCAGAAGAAGAGCGTCGACGCCGTCCTATGTCTGAACGACGTGTTCAGATGTTACACATGAGGATGAAAGTGAATCATCTACAAATAAAATCTCAACTGAAAGACATCTGAAACGAGACGAAATGGCCCAAATCAACACCGTCCTTCTTTTTTCTGTCCCAAAAAGGACATTTCTTTCTCTGCACAAGTAGAGAGATGGACGATGTGACTAACTGCAGACGTCCAGTGATGCAGAGGAGTAAAGAGGACTGCATCTGTCCATGATGAGGCAACAGACACCGTCCACTGAATTTAACTTGTTGGATGTATTTATGAATAACTGGGCTGCAGTGAACAAAAGAACATTTTGCACAGAATGAAAGCGTACCGACTCCTTAGCCAATCAAACGGTTGTTGGGAAGAAAATCTACATGTGATGTTGAGATCCAGAGCGATGCTACTTACTGGTCTGAAGGCATCTCAGCTGTACGCTGCTATGAAACAAACACTCTGGCGTGTTGGACTTCTTTAAACCAATCACAGTGGGTGGGGCTGAGAACAGGACGCGCTGACGGTGTTCACGCCGAACGGTGACGGGGGAGTTGTTCTGGTGGAACATTAGCACGCTAGGATGCCATTAAAATGGATAATTCACTGAAAAACAAAACAGGCATGGCTGCCTCACTGCAAGCATCTGCGGTGAAAGAGGCAGCTGTCAGGGTGGGAGGCTGCTGCCTGAAGGTTGCTGGAGGAGCTTTTGAAAGCAGCAACATGTGGACAGCAGGAAGGAAAGAAAAAGCTGCGTGAAAGGCTGTCTCTAGATCAGCTGATTCAGCATCATCTATCTCTAGACTAAAGCAAACACAGAAGATCAGTGTCTGTATTTATTGTATCCTGAGGATGATAACGGACCTGAAGCAGACCAGCTGCCCTTTAGTCATACGATGTCTGAAAACGCTGCCACCTGGTGGAGCCAGCACAGGAACTGTTCAAGAAAGTACCGCAGGTGAGTTAGGCTATGGTTTTTAGATGATGTCACGTTAGTTGTTGAACTGATGTGAAACTGCAACATGGAAATACCAAAAAGGTTCCTGCAGTTCCTCAAACGCCCACTTGAGGCAGCGTCCAAGAGCAACTGAACCCTCATAGACGGTCATGTGAAAATGACCAAGTGTCCAGCAGAAATAAACGTGCTTACAGAAAGCAGCTTTGGTCTCTGGAGCTGATGCCTGTTCAACACAACGCTACGGGGCAGAACTCACTCGTCTGATTTGCATTAAAGCCGTGAGTGATGCATCATCAGGAGCACGGCCGCCTGGAGTGACAGGGACATGTCCTCAGCTCCACTCGGGCTCCACCTCTTTGCTCATGCTTACATTCACCAGGAAGTAGACTGGGGTCGAATATTGCAAAGATGGTGACAGCTAGAACCTCCACATCGGCCCGATCTCCAGTTTCCACACTCATAGAGACACATGAGCTCTCAGCGTTGTCCTGATGTCAGATCCTCCAGAGCAGGAGGCCTGATGAGGACTTCACTGTAACGCCAACGTGACATTCAGCCTTCCTGTGTGTGTCTGCAGGTTTTCTGAGGGGCTTGTTCATACAACCCGTCCTCTCCACCCCAGAACATGCACAAACCAAGCGCTGATGTGGTAGGACAGTAATTTTCTAGGAAACTTCTGAGACAGTATCTGTTCTGTTATTGCACTCTGCGCAGCGTTTCCACGTCGACGTGACTTTCCCGACTTCTGCTCGTTTGCTAACAATGTGTAAACACGTGACGTGATGACAGGTCGAAACACTCCTGAACACCGGGTTGGTTCCTCTTTTTGGAGTATTTGGAGCCGTCAACACGCTGCAGCTGTGAGACCAGCTAAGATTTTACTCCCTCTGCCACAGGAAAGGGAACATTTCAGTTATTTCATGCTGTCGCTGACTTAGCAGGTATCACACCAGATAAACTGTTTGTGCTCCATCCCTCTGCTTCCTTTAAACACATTATTAAAGGAGAAACATGTCCACAGACGTTCTGAGCTTCTGCAGGTCCATCAGTCCTGCTGTAATTATGCATAAAGCATAATTAAAATAAATACAATTCATACTTTAAAAGGCCAGCATATGTCTCAGATCACCTCCTTCTTACGTCTCTGAGCCTTGACTGAAGGAAAATTATGGATGTTCAAAAAATTCACAAAACTTAAACTGTGATTGCCTGAAAAGCTTAAAATGGATCAAAGCATGGATTCAGACCGATCACATTCTGAGCTTTGTCACCAGTTCAACTTTAAATAAAGTTTCTACAGTAAATCTGTCAGAGGTTCAGGGTTCCTGAAGAGGCTGGTGTTGGAAGGTGTACTCCCACTCATGTCAACGGATATTATTAGATTGGAGATCATCCATCATGTCTACAACTTAATCCTTAACGCCCACAACGAGACGTGAACGCTGGAGGGACACCGAGGCCGAGCTCGGCTCCAGAACAGGACGAGGACTTGGCTGGACGCGAGCGTGTCGACCTCCCAGTCTGGACCAGACGCGTGAAGAAACCAGGACAAAGCTCCGTAGAGAAATATATCTCAGGTTTATTAATAACTTTCATCATCTTCAAAACTCATTAAGACAGAAATTATAAAACAGTATTTACACCTTGTTTCTCTGATTTTCTGTTCAGTTAAAGCGTCCAGAGAGGATGAAGGACAATCAGCTGATTTCTCCCCAGACGCCGTCCAAATCACACTCATGACAAATAAAAAAAGATTGTTGTTTATCACGATTACTGACAGTGTTCTGAGGTACAAAAAAAACAAGAAACCCAGACGTGATCCACTCACACGTTCACACACACCCTAATGAACCCAGACCCGGTACGACTGGCCCAGACGGCGGTGGGGGGCGCTCCAACACGGACTCACATTCAACAATATGTCAGTCATAGAAATCTACAAAACCAACACAACAGTCCTTTGAAATGGAAGTGTGTCTGTAACTCAGGAATGAAGATGAGGAGAAGACTGGACTGAGTGGACAGCAGAGCGCCGAGGCCTCCAGCCCGGCCGCAGACGTGACGCTCAGAAGAGGAAGCGTCGCGATGAGGAGCCGGCGAAGACCTGCTGATGAAATCCTGGCTCATCACGGCGCTGCGACACAGCGAATGAGCAGCAACTTTGGCAAATTTATCTCCAGCTCTGCTTCCTGCTTCTATTCCATCACATCAGCCGGTTCAGCTTCACTCACTGGGTTCTCAGAGGGTTCTCAGAGGGTTCTCAGAGGGTTCTGGGGAAAAACTGGTATCCACAAAACAGTGTGTTGTTGTTGCTGTTCTCCAGTTTTGTAGATTTATTTGGGAGCGTGTTAATCTGAACAGAAGTCCAGATTAAGTCCTGATCCTACCAGCTGGAGTGGCCTGGAGCTGTGCAGGGAACCTCCTGAGCTTCAAAAACTTCTGCAGCTAAAACCTCCGAGCTGAAGAAAGGCCTTTGGGTGGCTGCTTTCTACCATAAAACAACCGACACTCAAAACTCAAACGAATGTGTCCTCTGAGTTCTAACCCGACACCACCAAGAACCCGTCTGCTGTGACTCCACGTGGACATCGTGTTCTGTAAGCGTGAACATCTAGAAACCAACTGGACCGTGCTGCTGTGTGTTAAAGGGAACCAGAGTTCTAAGGCAACACCGTGTAACGTCGCCACGGCGACAACAAACCGGGTGTAAGAGACCAACCGCTGCAGCTCCCAGAGGTTCCTGTCAGCTCAGATCCATTCACGACCAGCTGCTGTTACTGAGCCACACAGACATTCATGTGACATAGAGGGAGTCAACACTATCCACCTGGATCCACCTGGATCCACCTGTATCCACCTGTCTCCACCTGTCTCCACCTGTCTCCACCTGTCTCCACCTGTCTCCACCTGCATCTTCACACACACACACGGGGGAATTCTCTTGGTGGCGACATTCAGCATTTCCCTGAATATTAAAGCGATTCATGAAACTAGAACCCAGAAATGAAATCAACATCTTCTCATGCTTTGGCTTCTGATTCATGCTGAGTCTAATAAAGTGCTTCGTGTTTCCTGTGTTCGGACCGGAGGAGTCCTGTTCTGGTGACGAGCTGATCAGATGGTGAGCTCCAGCCACACCAGAGCTTCAGTGGATCTACGCTCACAGAGCTTCACAGCGTTTGTTCACTGACGGGAGACACATGAAGCCATCTGAGAACATCAGCTGCTGATGTTTTGATGCTGCAGCGATTTTTTAAAAAAACTATCCACCTTCAAAAACTCGTTCGATCTGTGCCGATATCCTAAAGATGTCCTACGTTTCCCAGAATGCCACTGACAGAGAACACAGACCGGAGTCGTCTGGCTGCAATGAGCTGAACAGCAACAGAGGAACCAGACCTTGTGGGGCTGCTGCCAGCACATGCAGTCATTAGTGCACAAACCCAACCAGCGAGTGCTTCAGGAGCCGCTCGGTGGGTCCAGGGTCAAACACCTGATGTTGCCCTAAACTCCACAGACACACAGCGCCGTGGCTCTGCTGGTACGGAGCAAAGAAAACGTGATTTCATTTCTACAATAGATTATTCTGCTGCTAAAAAGGCACAGCAACGTATAACTGGAGTGTATGCAGCTCTACCGAGCACTGCATTTACGACAACATGCACACAATCCACTGAACGGACAACGGTTGGCTGATCCAGGGCTGTGATTGGCTGAGCCGTGTGATTGGCTGATCCAGGGCTGTGATTGGC